CTAGTAAGTGTCTGACACATCTCCCCTAACATCTAGTAAGTTTCCCCCACATCTCCCCTAACATCTAGTAAGTGTCCAACACATCTCCCCTAACACCTAGTAAGTGTCCAACACATCTCCCCTAACACCTAGTAAGTGTCCACCACATCTCCCCCAACATCTAGTAAGTGTCCACCACCAAGTTACACACTACTTTTGTCTATTCTGATGGACAAACAGAAACTTTGGGGATAGGCGTTACACAATTCGAGTAGAGTCTACATCTGCTCTGTGCCCAGACATAATTACTTTGAAAGAAATTGATGATTTGGTTTCTTATTCTCTGTTTGCTTGTGTTTCTGTGTAGCTGCTGTGGAGCAGGAACAGCTGCAGACACGGAGATGACCACTCAGATCATCTCCTCCAACCTGGAGCTGCACGCCCTCTCCACAGGACGGGTGCCCCGCGTGGCCACCGCCAACCGCATGCTCAAACAGATGCTCTTCAGGTACACACCGCAATATTTATGATCTTTTTAAAAGGGACGTGAACAGTTGAAAACAGACTCCCTTGTTAGGAGGTTGTGCCATGACTTTGGAAAAAACTACTACTAGTACAAACTACTTTGTCTGGAGCCAGTCAGTGATCCTAACCCTTAGATGCATAAGTGCGTCTTTTTTGACCCGGTGAGGTGGTTTTCTTTAAGTATCTTTGTAATTACATTTTATCATTTAATATTCCAGCTATTCCTCAAAAAACATGTTTTGGATATCATGCCATTCTAATATTAAATTTACATTTTAAGAAATTGTAGTTTTTGTATTACTACCCCAAGCTTCTATAAGTGGGTCAAAAATGACCCACATGCATTTTCTATCCTATGGGAACCTTTGATTCTTATCACCTGTTGCTCTCAGGAATACATTCACTGTAGGACCACACAGACTACATCACAAGTGACACCTCTCAGGAAGATTATTTTACACAGCAAGATCTGATACCTGTCAGTATAATAATAATAATAATAATAATACATTATATCTTTATAGGGCTTTTCAAGGACTCAAAATCGCTTTACAATATAAGGTAAAGTTAGGGTGGGGGGTGTGGGACTATTGATGGGGTGGGCTATGAGTAGACAAGAAGAGAAGAGATGAGTTTTGAAAAGGGAGTGGAATACTGTGAGGGTCTCAGAATAGCGGAGATATTTGAATCGATATGTTCAAAATGTTTTTTTTCAAAATGTTAAAAAATGTCTATAAATAGTGAAAAATTAAATATAAAATATTTCTAGTTTGAACCAAAATATAATACTAAATATTATACAAGTGATTTTTCTTCACCAAAATGGCATAAAAACACATATTATTCTAATACGGGTCCTTTTTGACCCACTTTTTGAAGAGTGTAGGGTCCAGTCACTCGTGCATCTAAGGGTAAACACAATTGCTAGCTTGGTAGCTGCTAACACGTGCATGTTTGACTGGTTTGACTACAACAGTGTCATCTGCATACAAAGGCAACCTCTGTGTTGTTACTGTTTTGGTGATAAGCTAGAGAGGGCCTAACACTGACGCATTTCACACTTCAAGTCATCAGAAGGGTCACATTTATCCCATTAAATCAATATGAAGAGGTCCATGCAAGCGCACTAGGTGAAAAAGTAAATGAAGAGAGTTTGGATATTAAATTATCCTAATAAAATGTATCAAATGCTTTATGGAGCTTATCAAAGTTTTAGTAGAAGGGCTGGCTTCAATCCAAGTGGCCTGTAATTACGCTCTTCCTGGTTAGGAAGGTAGATAAGAATCGGGAGTTCTCGTCAAAACGAACGCAGAAAACTCCTTTTTATTCATCTTAACTGAATATAACTTTGGATATAGATGCTCGGGCACTTACGGTGTTACAGTGTTATCTCAAAGTGTGTGTGGCTCCAAAGGAAGGAAACAAAACTCCAGACCCGACAACTCCCCACAACTACAGCCAAAGATACACAAACAAATGCTGCAACTCGATGTGAACGAACTACTAAACAATCAGCTCGAGTCCTGTACAAATTGTTAACAGACATTACTATCTTTTTAAAGGACAAATATATAACTTACTTGTGGTGAAGGACGAACATGTCGAACAGAAAGAGAAAGTAAATTGACAGCAGGCTGTAATATGAGAGAAGGCGGGGCTTAGCAACAGTCTAAATGTCTCTGCCCACTCTGCTTCACATTAGCTCATACATCATCCTTTCCTGTGTGTTTCAGGTATCAGGGCCACATCGGGGCGGCTCTGGTTCTGGGGGGAGTGGACTGTAACGGCCCTCACCTCTACAGCATCTACCCCCACGGCTCCACTGACAAGCTGCCCTACGTCACCATGGGTACGTCTCAGACACGACACACTCACCTCTAACCTCCATCTCTGTTTACATTGATGATGTGACCGTCTATGTTTCCTGTAGTTATTGAATTTCTCTTTTTACTGCACTGTTAGTGTACAGTTTTATTATTATGCTGTATTTTTGTAACTCCGGCACAACAATTTCCTTCGGGATAAATAAAGGCTTATCTTATGTTTATTTCTAATGAACCTTAGCTTCGAATATAACTCTAAATTCTAGATTTGACATCACTTAAAGAGGGTGATACAATATGTAATTGATGTCCTCATTATAAACATAATTTCCTCTCTGCAGGCTCTGGCTCTCTGGCTGCCATGGCTGTGTTTGAGGATCGCTACAAGCCTGACATGGAGGTAACCCCCCCCCACCCACAACACACACACCTTTTTTAAAAGATCAGATTTTCGAATTGAGCATCAATGCTGATCTATTTGTATTTGTTTTTTTCTGTGTTGAAAGGAGGAGGATGCCAAGCGGCTGGTGAGAGACGCCATCGCTGCAGGAATCTTTAACGACCTGGGCTCCGGCAGCAACATCGACCTGTGTGTCATCACCAAGGGCAACCTGGACTACATCCGGCCCCACGAGGAGGCCAACAAGAAGGGTGTCAGGTGAGGAAATTATCCTGGTGGACACACACACACCCACACTGAATTTAACTTCCTTACAGCCACAGGCAAAGTTGTTTTTAGGTACTATGGTATCTTTGAGCTGACGCTGCGTTTTCTTTCCTCGTTCACGCTGTAAATATCAAAGCGTTTATCGGTCACTGTTGAGATTGACTACAAAAAGCAGAGTAAACTGTCAATTAAATGTCTTAAAAGTGTACTTTGGATCTAGTATGCAGCTTCATAATCCTTTTATTCCAACACTGCTTCTGTATACTATGGTGAACTAGAGACACACACACACACACACACACACACACACACACACACACACACACACACACACACACACACACACACACACACACAGGAAGATGAGACACACATCACTAAAAGAGGAATCAAGGCACAATAAGGGGCCCGGGTAATCTGCTGTGACAACTGCACACGCAAGACCAACGCTGGATAAAGCTGCTGACATGCACTCTACTTTCTCACTTCCTGTCAATGTACACAAACCAATCACAATCCTCATATACA